TCAGTGTGTGGATGACAGAGGGAGTGAGCGGATGAGGGGAAAGAGAGACAGGAGCAGAAAGTTTCCTTTAAAGTCTATCTATATGCACACGGCCAAATACAGGGCACCACTCAAAAAGGCAAATCATTTAGACCCTCAGTGGCTCAGGACTTCACTCACAACTACTGATAAAACACAAATTCATAATTGTCCCTAATGTCAAACTATTTCAAGTATTGATTTTTAATAAGCATACATATCTTCCATGTTTGATTTTTTAAATTTTATTTTATCAGGATGCGTTTACAGTGCATAATGACTACATTCGTGGCAGGGAGTAGATGCATGTACATATCTGATTTTAAATCACAAAGTAATGTACCTTCGTTTTGTACTCAAAGCATTCAGTTCTGGTACAGCCCAGCGTGCTTAACAAGCGCCTCTATTTCCTCAGTTTAGGGTTAGAGCAATTTAAATGTGACGAGCTCCTGGCCTTTTGAGAGGCCAAATGGTCTGCCAAATTCAGACAGAGATTCAAAGTGTGGGGCAGATGAGGAGGTTTTCAGACAAAGTCAGATTAATTTCATACCATATAAATGAAACATGGCATTTTACCATTCTATAATATTTTAACCTTTATTACCAGTCTGAACAGCTTTTTCAGGGAAGGAGATGAGTTGAGACAGGGTCTTGCTATGTAGTCTAATCTGACCTCAAACTCCCAGTGATTCCTCCTGCCTCAGCCTCCCGAGTGCTGGGATTACTTGCATGTGCCACTATGCTGGGCCACTATGAACAGCTTTTCTTTTTTCTTTTTTGTCTTTTTGGGACAAAGTCTCGCTATGCAGTTCAGGCTGGCCTTGAGCTCACTTTGTAGCCCACGCTGGTCTCAGACTTGCAACGATCCTCCTGCCTCAGCCTCCTGAGTGCTGGGATTACAGGTGTGCACCACCATGCCCAGCATGAGCAGCTTTAAGAAAAGAAATACATTTATCTGTAGTTGGGCTGGAGGTACATGCCTGAAATCTAGCACTCCGGGAGCTGAAGCAGAAGGGATGCAAGTTCGACTCCAGTTTGGGAAGAAACAATGAAATCCTGTCTCAAAATTTAAAAATGAGAAGGAGGGCTGAGAATACAGCTCAGTGTGAAGGCCCCAGGGTTCGACACCCGGGACTACAGAAGAAAAAATCTTTCTTGGTAGAAAGTTGTATTCTTTACCCAGATTCAGTGAAAATATTAATAGTAAATCTAACATCACTCATTTTCATACTTAGATTTATGACATATTGTTTTTTCATCTATATATATGAAATAATCTCAAAATCCTCAGGGGAGAGCAAACTCCCAAAGGTCCAAGACCTCACTTTATACTTTGGTAAGTCTCCAGAGCATTTAACAAAGTGATAAACACGTAATAATTACTCAGTGCAACCCTGATAAACTCAATTAGAAAAACTACATGGACAGTAAGGCCATTTCATTTGTAAGGAAAACATGAGCAAATATGATTGTTCTAAATTCACAACCCAGTAATTTCTAGTGAATAACCTAGAGAACTGCTTTTGGCTGAGAGAGCTGGGCAGAACGTAAACACCAGTTTTTCACATTATTTAGCACATGCAGTCCATTGCTTTTTCTCAGATCAGAATTTAAAGGAGAATAAACAACCAAATACTCCTTTAGCCTCTTTCTGAATCTAGAAAAATCTGAATGGCACTTTCTCTGCAAAAGATTATAAAGTTCAGTCCAGTTGAGCTCTTAACCTCAAAAATGTCTTGCTCAGGATGATGGCGCTTTTGCGATACTTGGTCTCCAAGTGTGTTTGAAATATCAAACACGGGGCTTAGTGGTTTGCAAGAAGTATAGAAACATGACTTGGAAAGGAGTCTGGCTTTTAGTCGAATGTTACGCATTCCACCCTCTGCCTCATACAGAAGTCATCAAAACCGGCACCGGCAGATGGTTTTTCTTAACATCCTTTCTGCTTATTAAGAAAGAGAGCAGTAATACAATGTAATTAAAGAGATATTAGGTCGGTGGCGAGGATGGTTAATTAGAGAAATTTGAACTGGTTAAGCTAACAAGAGGCGATGATTAACAGCCCAGCAGCAAGCAGCCCGCGAGGAGGTCTCCAGCTATATGGGATAAGGCACTGTGACGCCTTTAACAGCGCTGCGCTCTATATTATTATTATGCACTTAGGGGCCGGGGATATAGCTCAGTGGCCTAAGTGCCTGTCTGGCAAGCGCAAGGTCCTGAGTTTGATTCCCAGTACCAAAACAAACAAACAAACATTCCTATTATGCACTTAGATCAGCGAGTCTTAATCCTGGCCGCCTATTAGATGCACCTCTGTCGCGATAACAAAATGCCGAGACGCCTCCCGCAGAGCTGACTGAACAGGTTGGTTGATTGAGCGCTCCATGGAGACGTATTTAGATGTTTCGCTGTGGAAAGCTCCTCAGTCCTTATCGTTAACAATGCAAATGAGATTGAGTAATAGGAGGGAATAATCTCCAAAACTCTAGCGCACTCTTAGTCTGCATTAATAATTTTTTCTCAGCTTCAATCTGGTCAAATAATTTCTAACATGTTAGGTGGAACTCTTGGGCCTCCAGTGGGAAGTTACAAAAAAACTGAAGCTCTCTTAAGAGAAAAGGAATTGCAGGTGGGTGTCCTGGATATGAGTTCCTCGGGAACTCATATTCTGAAGTGTGTGTGTGTGTGTGTGTGTGTGTGTGTGTGTGTGTGTGTGAGTGAGTGACTGTGTGTGTGTGAGTGACTGTGTGTGTCTGCACGCACTCACTGTAACTCAGGCTGGCCTCAAATTCATGATCCTGCTGCCTCAGCCCTCCACATTCTGGGGTTCCGGGCATCCCCACACCTGGCTCCATGATTGATGTTTTAAGCCCAGAATGACTGCTGCATGAAGCAGGAGATGCATTTGCTCTGCTGCGGCCTCTGAAGCAAAGCTGGAACCAATGCATAGCACAGCAAAAGGGTATCAATTTGGCTCAGTGGATAAGAAAATTGCCTATGGATTAAAACTAGCCAAAGACAGAAAAGGCTGTTTGGTAAGGTAGCAAGTTCCCCTCCTCTCGAGGGATAAATCACACACTGGATGTGTAGTTGGCTAGAATTCTGTAGTGAGAAATGCTGCAAAAGCTTTAAAGGATAATTCCACACTGAGCTTCTGCAACAGTGACGGCAAACCTTTTAGAGCTTTCAATTATTGCAAACAGCTCACTGCGGCACGTGTGCCATAGGTTCGCCACCACTGTTCTACAGTGAAAGTTAACTTCGCGGTACCACGGAGGTCAATCAGTGGGATAAAACAACCCTCTTCTTCCCTGTCCTTTGGGACAACTGGCACAGAATGATGTCACCATCACCAGGGCCTCTCAATGGCACGTGGATGGCTGCAGCTGAAATAGGGTGACCTTAGCTCCCAGCAAGCTTGAGAGCCAAGAACACGCATTAACCCAGAACAGTCAGGCTAAAGGGGGTGAGCCTAGGGTACCAGCTGCTAGTGATGTAGACCTGTGACCCAGCTTGCAAATTGGACTGTCGCCTTGTGTTAATCCTGGGAAGGGCCGTCTCTCACTGTGCAAACCAGAATATTTCCGTGAAGCTGTACACACATCTGTACAACTACAGCCTGGCCTGCTCAGTCACATAACACACACACTCTATACACACAGCTGCAGCCTAAGCAAATCCTAGTATCATTTTTAAAGTACCTTGGCATATTAACTTTAATGCCTAAACAGCTTACTTTTGTAAGAAACCATGTATTATAGACTCAGCAAATGCTATGAAAGTAGATTTGGGACCAGGGATATAGCTCAGTGGCACAAGCACCTGCCTGGCAAGTGGAAGGTCCTGAGTTAGATTCCTAGTACCCAAAACGAGTAGATTTTGTGTTTTCACAAAAAAAGTGAATATGTAACTAATGTGATATAGCCTTTCCACTATGTAAACGTAATTCAAACTATTGCCCCATATGTACATACAATTCTTATTTGTTAAATAAAAAGACAGAGAGAGAAGCACATAGAATGTCAAGTATAAAATGTAGCAGTAATCTGAGTTTTGGTTTCATAACGGTGGACATGAATTAGAGATATATTTTTACATGAATGATTTGATTAATCTTTCAACTACAAAATGTGAGATATGATAGTCACCATCTTTCAGCAATGTGATTGCAGAGCTAGATTATTTGGTTCAGTAAAGAAAACAATAAAACGATAAAAACCACTTTGAGACCGTTGGGTTGGTGGTTTTTCTGTTAACCTCTCAGTTGTTACTGAACTTGCCCAATTTCATCCACCTGATTTATGGATCACTTTCATAAACCGTCTGCCAACCCCCAAAAAAACTGTACTCATAGCTCTTTCTTCACAAGGGAAGTTATTTTCTTCCTTCTCCATTTTTTCATTGCTCAGTCTTAGCTGAAATTTTTTCACAACAGCCAGGCTACAACAGAGCTCAAAATTCTACCTTCAAACATTGCTGAGGGGTAGGTTCGAGTAAAGGGGAGAAAGGGTATTTGTCGGCAAAAGCTTATTTGAGGACTGGAGTGTAGCTCAGGGCTAGCAGCACCTGCCTAGCATGGGTGAGGCCCTGGATTTGATCCCCAGTGAGAGAGAGACAGAGAGAGAGGAAGAAACACAGACAGACAGGCAGACAGAGGGAGAGAGAGACAGAGAAACAGGCAGAGAAAGAGAGAGAAAGGAAGGAAGATGGGTGGGTGGATAATACAAGATGCTTGTTTGAACTCTTCTTATTCCAATGAATATTGCTTGGATGCCTTTCACTTTCATATTATTGCAATTAAGAAAGTGAAAGTAAAAATAAGTAAGCCAAGTCTTACTTATTTGCTTAAAATTAGTAAAAATAAGTAAGCCAAGTCTTACTTATTTGCTTAAAATTTATTCACAAAGCGGATAGACCAGGAGTTCATTTATGAGACTGCTGACACTACCCCAGCCCACAATAAGTAAATAACAAATACACACCTCAGAGTGTTTGAGTTCAACTGGATTCTTTAATTCCCTTACTGTGCCACTCCAGACCACCTTGGAGGAGAAATTCTGAGGTGAGAACAAAAGACTAACGGAGACAAACCAAATTAAGGCAACAGAGAATCAGCCGAAGCATCATACTGTTTAAACAAATCAGATATCATAAAGATAAAATAGTCACACTTTTTAAAGTTCAAATGAATTTGAGAGGTGTCCAAAAAATCCTTTTCATCTACAAGTAAATTACTGACAAAAGAAATTAAAACCTTCATCGTATAGCACCTAGAATAAATATTAACGGTGCACAGCTAGAAGGCCCTGTTACGATGACGCTCGGACAAATACAAGTTTCTGGCACTTTTTATCACTGATTCCAACTTGTCACCCTGCTTGTCACCACCCCTGCTCTTCAGCTGATGTGTGAATTGCTCCGGTCATGTGCAAGGACAAAAGAGGAGAACCCCAACTCTCCTGTCCCGCTGGGGATCCCAGGACTGCGTCATGTCCAACACGCTGATATCTCAGGAGTCTCCCAAAGAAAATGTTTAGGCTTTTTACCTCTCTGTGGATTGCATGACTGAAAAGCCAAACTGTGTGAAAAGAGTCACTCAAAACCATGTCATTTCACTTCACTTCAGAGAGCCTGAAGGTTTTCATACTGTTTTTCTCTCTTCCCGGGCAAAGTCTTAATTGAATACCGTCATAATCCACTCTGGTTTTTTGCCTACTTTAGGTTTTTCTTTTTCCTCTGTCCTCAGAATTCCAAACTCTTTAATTTTTTAAACTTTCTAAATTTCCATTAAAAAAATTAAGATCCCTGTCTTGAAGTCTTCCAGTTACTTCTGATTAAAGGTGATTTTTTCTTGGTCCTTCATCCCAGGGGCCCTAGCCGTTACACCCGGTGAGCAGCCGTCTCCTGAGCTGCTCATTTCCCAGCAGCTGCGCCTGGCCTTCTTAACTCCCCCCCATTCCCGCCGCTCTCTGCTGCATCTCAGGCTCCCTGCTCCCTCTCCACGCCACTCCTTAACAAACTCTGTTTTTCTCTTCTCTCTCCTTCTTCCCTTTTAATTTTTTTTTTTTTTTTTT